CCCTCTGGGATTATTAAAGTATTTCTGACTCTGATTCTGCTTTATGTCCTACCTTGCTAACATGAAACAATTGTGTTAAAGCAACTAAATATGATTAAGTAAATGCCTAATGCAAGTTGCATTGAAAGTGGCAGTATTGTGCACAGACATGCTTTTTTACTAATTAGTCTGTTTAGATGTAACAGGGAAATAATTAGTGGTAAACAAAGAACAGTCAAAAGACTCAACACTTTGATGAAGATTCACCATTTAGTGGAACATCTCCCCTAAACAAACAGTTGGGGATATAATGGAATGGTTTGAATCATATTTATGCATTGGATAATCTTGGTCTAATTAAAAAAATTGAAAATGTATGTTCACATAGGCTTTACATCCAACCTGATAAAGTTTGAGCTAATTTGACTAGATTAATGAGCAGTAATGTGAAAGATTGAAGAATGGGTCACTGTAGTGTTGAGTGCAGCCATGGAAGGAGTAAAAAAAAGAATTGAACCACACAGCAAAACTCTGAATTCCTTAATGCATTGCATATTAAATATTTTTAATGGGAGCTCCCAGGAGGAAAGAGTCACAGCCAAAATAGAGTATTGAAAGCATGAGTAGAGCAGAATTTTTCTTTTTTGCCTGCAGCTTTCCTGGCTGAATTGGGGGACACATGTGGGGAAGTCTTTGCATCGCTGAGTTAAAGACTTTTTGAATGCAAGGATACAAAATAGTTTATTCTGCTGTTTGGATATCCGGTGAACATAAATGAAAATACATAACTCGTCTTCCTGAGCTTTTTTTTTTAATTATTTAAAAGAATTAAAGTTTCAATAAGAAGAGATGGTGTCTCTTATCAAATCGGCAGCAGTTTCCACTATCCTGAGGGAGAATGCATCGGTCCGCACCTCTGCAATGCTACTTGCATGCACAAGTCTGAGCAGACAGTTGGCCAGGACTTTAGACATAGAGCAGCAGCCAAGCAACTGACTGGGCTGTTGGATGTCCTCCACTCTTCACAAGCACAGAGTACATTAAGAGGTTGTTTCTGGGCAGAGGAGATAGGTTTAGGATGAACCAGTGTACATATTGTTTATTTCTAGTGGGGTTTTTTTTTTCTTTTTCTTTGCTTTAAAGCTCTACCTGATTCAGTGAGAACACGCCTCTGAGATTGATGCTGTCATTTTTTTAAAGAGTCAATTTACTTTTGTGTAATAGAAAACTTCTGCCCAATCTTTTTGTATGATCTGATTGAACTTTCTCTGTAAGGTGCCATGAGATGACACATGTTGCTAAAATAATAAATGGATTTAAATTGACTGAAATCCTATAACTTAAGTGCAGTTCTTTTTTGTTTGTGTTTTGCATTATGTTCTATCGCTAAACTGCATAAAGAATGTCCCAAAAACCATCTAAATGTTCTAAATTGTTTCGCTATTATCTCAGCTGCTAAAGCTCCTCTGATGCTAAACAGTAGCATCACCGTCTGCCTCTGTTTTGTGGTGATCAGCCTTAGCACACCCTCAGCACAAATACTTATGTTTTTTTCTATTGTTATTACTTAAAGATAAATGTGTGACTTAAATGATTGCTAAACTGTATTACAGCAAGTATTTTCTTTGTTGTCAATTAAACTGCTCATTATGCAGTCTCTCCAACCATCACTCCATTGTGTTGGTTTATTAGCACAACATTAGGTTGCGTTAATCAATGTTATTGATTTCCACTTCAGCAAATTATTGACTTTAACTCCTCATGATCAGGTCTTGCCCCGAATTGGTTATTTTGAATGGAATTGTTGATAATAATAATTGAGCTTTGCACAAAAATCTGAAAATGTTTAAAGGGTTTTCTACTAAATTACAATGTAAGGAAACTTATTCCAAGATCATCACCACCATATCAAATAGGGGTTGTTACATTTAAGGAATGTAACAAGGGCATTTGGTGTATTCATACCTTGGGCATAGATTAGGATTTTTCCTTTTAACACATTTGCAAATGATTTTAGGCATAGAGTTCAAAGGTGGAGACAGTAATAATGATGAGAATGTCACAATTCATTCTGATGAAAATAAAATACTTCATATGCCATCGATGTTCCCGCACATCAGTAGATAGAAAGAAAAAAGGAAAGATAATACAATGTCTCATTTCATAGAGCCTAAATTGGCTCAGAGGAAATAGCAAAGCCCACAACCAGCTGAATATGCCGTTTTTCAGTGTGGCTTTGCATCAGACAAAATGACTTTGTTGCACATGGTTGCTTAAATCCTGCCCAGAATGTCATAAATCTTTACAAATCTTGAAAACAAAGTCTCCATTTGGATGTCATGACAGTGACAAACGGCATGACCACTGGCTCATAATGACGTTTGACTGTCAGCCGGGCTCCCGTCCAAGAGGGAAAAGAGCTCACCATTATAATGCCAACATCAGCCTCATTCTGCCTATATTGGCCCTGGCTTGTAGTCGTCCCCTGAGTTTGAAGTCGCTAGATTATGAGCACTGTGTAGAGCATCTTCCCGCCCTCATGAATATCCGTGAAATGTTGAGAAATCATCCTGCATTTACATTTTCTGCTGCTGTTGTAAAGGATATGTGTGTACCTACCAGAGGAATATAAAAATGCAACAAGAATTCGGAAGAAGTACATAAAATGCTCTGATAATCTCTTAAGAGTTTGTTTTAATACAACAAATATAATTAATTTCCAGATAAAATGTCAGCTGGAAGTTCTCGGGAGTAATAGAGCAACATTTGCAGAGATTTTTTCAAACTATATTTTCTTGTAAAACTACTTATACTGTACCCCAGTGAACATTTTCCTCCTGACACATACTGTAGTGTATATTTCAATGTTATGTAATAGGCTAACGTAACGTAGTGCAATTGTGAAAAAAAGCTTATTTAAAAACAGAAACTGGTGAATCTCCCTACCACTCTACCCTAACCATGGTTTACATTTCTCCACAACTTTATCCATCGACTGTGTAATATGTTACCTGGTCTTAAAAATGCTGCTTCTCCACTTAATGTTCTCCAACAAACCCTTGAGGTCTTCACAGAACAGAATATACTGAGAATAAATTACTAAACAATTATCTATATTAATTACTAAGGCTTTTTAATCCTTGGCTGCCCTGCATTTTGTTTAAAAGTATCAAAGTATAAGGTAGTTTAATTATAAAAATATTAAAAACCAAGGATTGTTTTTATTATTCTTCAAATTATGAGCTATTTTGTCAGTCACATAAAATAAAAAAATAAAAAAACACACATGTTAAAGTTGGTTGCTCTTACATAAAAAAACTGGACAAAATGTCAGTAAGTTTGATAAGTTTTACAAAAAATTATATTGAACAAGACCACATGACATCCGAAAGGAAACTATATGCTGTACTAATTGAAACTATGTCCAGTATTAGAGTTTATAGATGTGTGTTTCTTGTCTGTATTGTTTTTGATCCATATCTAACAGTCAAACGTTCAGTTGCTGCAGAATTGAACTCCTCTTTTCTATTTCTAAAGTAGTGTTGTAGAGATTCACTTTCTCCTCATATTTTCTCCTTGTCGGATGCAAGGTCACATTTTATTCCTGTTGACTTGCGCAATTCATGCTCTCTGTGGATCTAAATGCTCCATTCTCCCTACAAGACACATATGCATTTTTTTACTCATGCAATTAAAAAAGTGCACTGGGGAAATCCAAATGCACTAAGTTACATGACTCTTCTTGCAGGCTCTTCAATTAATAAGCGTACTACTGAGTGTGCAGTGGAGAGAGAGACAGTTGCATGGCATTTATATTTCAGATAACTGTGTCAAAATAAGATGGCTCTTAGACGTGACAGTCAAGGATAACAAAGCTGGATATGGAACACATTGTTCCTGCTATTGAGAGTAATCACTCGCAGTTTCTGAGAAGTGTGGCTAATATGGTGAATATGCATGATCTTCATTATAAACTTCCAGGATATGATATAATGATTCAGATAAGTCAAATCTCAGAGCAATAAGTTGTGCTGAAGTGATCAGCAGGGGAGCATCATACTGTAGAGCTCTTGAGGGCTGAATAAGAGCTTAGTCAGTTGGAAACTGTTACCTTGAAAGCATGAGTGACAACTGTGGAGTCTAAAACGTTTCTTGTTCATGTTCTCACAAACACTATGTTTGAGTGATTGTGAAGTTGTGGCCAATATTTTAAGGACCTAGATTTTAAGGGCCAAGAGGCCAACAATTGTAATAGAGCTGGCAACGATAACGAAGAAGTGAAGCCATCTATACAGCCAGCAGTGAGAAAAAGTCAGTTAGCAGTGGTCTGTTGTTGGGGTTTCATTAATACACCAGACTAGATTTATGTGATGGAGAATCAGAGGGTTTGAAGAAGACACTGAAGTCTCTCTTAAGAGATGTTCCGTCCATGAACGTTAAACAAGACAAGATTTTAAAGCTTGTAGAGGAAATTATACAGTGTACAGATAGAAGGGAGAGATACTGTAAGAAGATTTTGGACCTGGAAAGGAGAGTTGAGGATTTGCAGCAGTACACAAGAATTAATGATGTGGTCGTGATTAGGCTCAAGATTAATCTCTGATCATGCGCGCATGCAGAGACCATTGGCAGCGAAGAGGAGCTCAGCAAGAATTTTTGTAGATTGTCTTTTTTTCACATTGAATCTCTCAGATTCTCTAACAAATTTTTGTCACCACAAAAATGCATTTTTTAAATAATGGTTTTAACCAAACACAACTAGAATAACAAAAAATGGAAAGGAAACCAATGAAAACTCGAAAAGAAAACAAAAACAGATCCAAAACCATGACCGGCCCTTTGAAAAATTTACATCTGTGATAAAAAAAAAAATTTTTTTTGTTTAGATTTAATCAGTCACACCCAGGTTCATTTGTCAACTTATCTCAAAAGCAGATCATTATGTTGCAATAAGTAAATCCAAGAACAGACAGGTAGCAGTCATTGACATCTATCAGTTTATCCACCATTTCAAAGGCTTTGTGATTCCAGTGAACTACAGTGAGAGCCATTGTCCAAAAGTGAGAAGACATGAAACATTAGTTACATTTCCTATATGGTCAATCCACCAGTGTACTTGGAAACAAAAAGAGAAAACATCACAAGCTTTGCAGGCCTCACTTGCCTCTGTTAAGCTAGAAGTTTTTGAATCAACAAAAATAATTTAAAGAAAGAGATTCTTTATAAAGTCTCAAGGGGAAAACCAATGCTGACCAAAACACATTAAAAAGCATAGCGGTGGCGCAGGCAGTGGTGTGGAAGCCATGTCCTTAGTTTGTCCATCCTAGGTTTCTTTGCCCCTCTATTTTAACATCTGTCTCACTTCACTCCATGATTCAAGACATTTGTATTTTTTGTTGTTGCTGTGAAACATGTTAACATTGTCAAGAACAGGTGTCCCACGATTCAAGGAAAGAGAAAAGACAGTGGGATTACTCAAAAATTGTTTTCTTCTAAAATGGATCTGCGTCTAAGGCAGGAAGCCCTGCAGAAAGGAAATGCAGGTTAGTGACCACGTCAGTCTGACCGAGGATGATTATGAATGTGTGAGTCACTAACCCGGTTTTATAGTTAAGTCCGTGCCCAGATAATGAGGTTGATTCCATGCAGAATAATCCAAAGGGAAAAGTCAAAGCCAATATCGAGGACGTGCTCAGGATTTAGAACAAGAAGACCAGAGGCCAAAGAGGTTCAGAAGGGACATCCAGGTCAGTAACAAGAATCAGTTCTAGGTAGGTTAATAGGAAGAATCCGGCAGGAGTCCGAAGACAAGTCAGGCAAACTAATCAGAACAGAAACAGACAGGCTCAGAGGACCAGAGGCAGAATGGGTCAGGATTAGGCAATCAGAACACAATCAGGTACGCTAGAGAGCTCTCAGCAAAGGCATGAATAATCTGGCACTGATGACTGGTTGGAAGGCTGATCAAATAGAAGCTGGAGCAGGTGGATGAGATGAGCGGTAATCAGAAACTGGGCAGAGGTAGGAAGGAGAATGAAATGGGTAATCAAGACAGTCAACAGAGCCAGGATTATGACAGTGATTGTATAAAGGACATCAGAAAGTTTAGTTGTGAATGATTGAACATTTTTGAAGTAGTTTTATAGAAGTCTGGACATCATCTGATTGAAACGTTTTTTTATGACCTTAAATAAGTCATTTATGCTTTAAAAAAACTGTGTCTGAATTTAAAAAGAACAAAAAAGAAAAAAGAGAGGGCCAACATTCAGTCACATGATTTAAAAGACTTGTTGATAGTTATCACACATGCCAGTGCTGCATTTAAGTTAGTTTTTTCTCTTTAACATGGCAATTTTAATTTCAAACTAAATGTTACTTTTTTTTGTGAAAATAATTTGAGTCTGAAACTTTAGGTGTGACACAAACAGAACATTGAATTCATCTGAAAAGGGGAAAAGATTTAATATTGTTGTATCTAGAAACACCTACAGTAAAGATACTGCAAAAATAAGCTTAATTTCTTTCCATGCCTCTTTGACTACTCTGACCCAACCTCATATAATAGACATTGGATGAATATAATACTGTGCACAAAACAAACACAAAAAAACATTCCTCATGCATAAGCAGACAAGCACCCGCAGAAGTTA